AGAGGCTGGCTAGCTGTAATTGCACCATTCTGTGGCTCTGTGCAGGCTGTGTATCACGCAGTCTGTGCTGCTGATAGCAGCAGTTGATCCAACATTTGCTCTCATACCAGGCGTTTGTGAAGGTGCCAGGTGTATGTGGTGATCCATAACCTTGTAATTACCCAAAGACACTTGCAACTGGAAATGAGTTAACACGTTTCCTTCCTAGAGCTCATGAGAAGATCAAGGAGAAATTCTCTCTTCCTCCTACTCCATTTTCTTTCTTTATCTTGCCTGGGCTTGCACCACACCCATGCTGCACAGCCATCATTGGGAAGGAGCAAAAAGCTATGATTTCCCTCCCATTTCATTTACCATTGAGTTAAGGTATCATTCAGTTTTACATAAAAATCATTTCATTCACTTGATCCTGATAACTCTCCTCACACTGCATACCCACTCTATTGAATTAAATGGTATCATATGTCCAAAATCAGACTTTAACATAAAGAAATGTTCTTGTGGTGTATTTACTGAGCTCTTAAGTATATCACAGGACAAGAAAATACCCATTAGTGGTTACATCAACAGTATGCTGCTGTAACATCAGCAGGATACTATGAGAGCATCACAGGCGTTCTTATTTTCCCCAAATGCAGCTCCGTGAATTGTGCCATGAAAATCTCATTCAGGTGCCCAAAAGAAGCCAACTTGTGAAGTCTGCTTTTCTTCCAAAATCTGTAAGTACTGGAAAAAAAGCTGGATTACCTCAGTGGATGACACCATCACAGCTGTCACAAGGCCTTTCTGGCACCTCATTTCCCCTTTAACAAAGCCAGTCAGCACTGCTAGTTGACAAAACAAAAGTAGAAAAGTTCTGAATTGCAGTTTCTCAGGCCCAAAGAACAGATTCAACTAGAAATACTAAGCAAACACCAGCCAGAATGTCACACTGCATGGCTCCTTCAGCCTTCCCACACAAAGTGTTATTTTACTTCCTTCCAGTAGCAAAAGAAGTTGAATTCAGGTCTCCCTATTTAAGGCAGGTGCTCACAACCCGAAGTTGCTGGAAAAAAAAGCAAAGGGTGGGGAAAGGACTTCTTTCCTCCTCTGCATTAGCTGCTAAACCAATTTGTCCTTGAGAAGACCTGCACAAACAGACTGCAGAGAGCATGGCAACAGGAAGAGCTGATTTTGGGTATCTCCTGAGACAGAGGAGAGAGCAGGATTCCAGTTTGCTACCCCAAGTGTAAAGGAACTCATACAGAATATTGCACAGCTAGCAATATGAATCAGCATCCAAACCCAAATTGCCATTGGGAGTTGGGAGTGGAGTTTTCAGAATCTAAGTTGAGAAGTTGATACTTTCATCCCTTTTGTGAATTTAGCTGGTATTAGCAGCTACCCATGTAATTTCAAATCTAATTTATCACCAGCAATCTTCATTTTTCAAGGGAAATCTATGCATCCCCTTCAGATTAATTCTCTCACCCAAGGAGGGAGCTCAAGCAGAAAGCCATGGAGAACACTATTAAGAGAAGTAAGCACTGGGAGAGAAATAAGGAGTATTGTTGTGGAGAAAAGACAATTATCTTGAAATATATAAATCACAGCTCAGTTCAAGCAGGGTATATTCAGACTTTTCATGATTTACAGCACTCGAGACAGGCCTAAAACAAGGGAACACATTTTTTCACAACAGTTCTGATTTTCAAATGAGAATGAGAACTCTCAAACACCAAAAGTAAACTGTGAAGCGACTCCGATGTTTCTTTGTTTCTGAAGTTACTGCCCATAGTTATAGCAGAAGCCCCAACTACATAATCTTGTAGTGAAAAGGAAAATCCATGCTTCAAGCAGACTGTTTCTCTGTGCCAAATAGTGTTGCAAAATGCAGCCTGATGAGATCTCTGCTCTCACTCACACATCTCACAGACTCACTGTTTGGCAGCTTTCTTCCTGCTGGTTCATAACAGTTTTCCCTAAGATACACTAGTTTGCACTGCCCAAGGTCAATCTCACCAAATATGCTGCCTGAATTTATAACCACTCTTTGATAACTGGCACTGCTGCTCTCACTATCTGGGGGGGCATCTCTGAGCCCACAGCACTTTGCAGTCCAAGATTCCATGTAAAGAAGTATCACTTCTATTTTATTAAACTGTCAGTCCATATAGCACATGCAATATCACAAACATTTGTTCCACAAATAATTTTTTAGGAGATTTTTAAAGTTTGCTTACTGAGATGCAGATTCTGTCAGTCTGAAAAATCAAGCAATTCTATTATCATTATTTTTTATAACTGAAGCTGTTTCATCATACACTCATGGAGCTCAGTCCTGCTTCTTTTACTTACCCAAACAGTTCCAGTGGCATAGCTTATGAGAATGTTAAGAATTTGGCCCCGTATACCCATTTAACCCTATTTTTAAAAAGCATTGATATCTGCCATCTTCTAACCTGTAATGGCTAACATGATCTCTGGAGGGTGTTCAGCACTTATGTGTCAGTGAAAATAACAGTCAGTACGCATTAAATATTCATAATAGCACCAATAGATCACAAAACTTCTTTAAGGAGTCACTCAGATTTCCAAGAGGAGCCTGGGTGGTGACAGATCTGATCACACGTCCTGTACTTTGACTGTTCCTACATGGCACAATGCACCCTAAGATATCTCACCCTGTCTAGCTGCTTTCACTATAAGGAAAATTAATAACAAAAGCATTTTAGCTGCTTTTTTTTTTACTGTGGTTCTCTGATCTTCAGATCTTCAAAGCAGAGACAAACTCTCTAGTCTGCCCCACAGAGAAGGGGCTGTAGCCCCTCACTAGGACTGTCCAACACAGCCAGTGCAGCCTTACTACAGGTTTCAGCTGTCTGCAGTGCAAGACCTAGTTCTGATAGCAGCAGCTCTGAGAAACTTCAGAAAAAAATAAGTAGTGAGAAAGAACTGCAGAGAGAAAAGTACACAGAGTCATGTGAGATAAGAAAAAAATAATGCAGTGGGTTATGCTGAAATGTGGATAGCTAACAGTTCAAGGATTCAAAAGGAAAAAACACTGATATTAAAATGTGTAAAATCCTAAGAGAATAAAACAAGCGGCCAGAGGACGGCAACTGTGCTACAACCAGCCCATTCCAAGGACTGCAAAGACATTTCCCTGCATGACTGACACCTGGTGGGCCAACAGAGACCTGCTGCTTCACAGGAAAGCCTCTTCACGAAATGTCACCTTCAGAGCCTCCCAACTTAGAATCATAAAAACATGGAATCACTAAGGTTGGAAAAGACCACTGTGATCATCAAGTCCAATCTCCGACCCATCACCTCCACTCCCACTAACCATGTCCCTCGGTGCCACATCTGCATTTTCTTGAACACTTCCAGTGATGGTGACTCTACCACCTCCTGGGGCAGCCCGTTCCAATGCATCACCACTCCTTCTGACAAGAAATTTTCTCCGACTTGATAGTTTTCCTTTAGGTGTGAAACTGTAAAAACCATGAACTTTTAACTACTGGTTATCAAATGCCAGACCAGACAACATCTAGTTTGTCGTAAACTTTTGTTCCTCACTGAGGACATTAGCCACATGATTTAGTGCTGAAGCGAGTAATGAAATGCAATACACTGTGGGATACTTTCAGAGCAGGGAATCATCATTTCTGAATCATCTTGATGTAAAGATCTTGGATACTGCTGAGAAGACCTGAGAATCAAAGGAAGTAGCTCAGATCTGCCAAGTAACTGATGGAGAGTTCATTCTTGTGAAAAAAGCAAGAGGAGAATCTGTAAATGCAGGAATTATAAGGCCCCTGCTACTTAAATTATTGAGGCCACTAATTAAGAATACATTAGTGATAATTATGCTGCACTGATGCCTTGACAACTGTAACTTTCTGATGGAATGTGGTAAACTGACATAAAAGGCACCTCCTTTCTTCCCTCTCTGTAACAGAAAGAAACTAACAGAAAGCTTTTCTCTAACTTCCACACAAAGATTACAGTCAGAACACAATTAAACCCAAGAAGACAGTACTGAAGGAGTTGATAAAGATATGAGCAACAGGGTTCTCAGACCTAAATTCTCTATGTGATTTTAGTATACACAAATGAAGAACTTCCATTTTACTTCAAGTTATATGAGGGAAACTTGAAAGGACTGTCTCAGGATGAGACCTTAGAGGAATAAAGAAGAGACTGGCAGCTTGAAGCACACAGTGATTCGGCAAACTGCACAGCTTACAGATCCTTCACCAGCTTGTGAAACCTTAATAAGCACTTTATTAGAAAATTTCTTTAAAATTATTATTTTTTTTAAGCAGTGCAAACATTTATGGCAGTCTGATAGCACGTCAGTATATAACAAAACTCATTTCTCGAACTGCTGAAGACATACGAAGGTCAGCTTTGTGTTGAGGTGGCTTTGAGTCATTTCTGTTTGCAGAAGATGGAATCTTAACACCGAGGAGAACTACGTACCTCTTACGGTGTTGACAAGAAGTGCTAAAGAGACATCAGTCACTCAGTGCAAATAGCAGCGGGGAGGCGACTGCTATCACTGCTTCCTTTACAGTTTCCCATCTGACATTTCTTATCTGGCACGTAGGAGGCTTTCTTTATCCATGAGGCTGCACTGCAGAGCTGGTGTACACTGCAGCTGGTGACCTCGCATGGGCCGCCTGTAACACAGCACTCAAGCACATTCTCCACGGGCATTTTATGCCCTTCCTGGAGCTCAGCGTGACGGTGGGGAAAATCAGGTGAGTATTTAACAGGGCTGGAAAATAATTTCCAACCGGGCAAACCGAGACGGATGAACGACGACGGACCGCACCGTCAGTAAGCGTTCGAGTGCCCATTTTGAGGCTTATTTCTTTCAAGCGTCCTCCCACAGCGCGTTAACGCAGGAACACCTCAGCGCCTCAGCGGTGCGGCGCGCAGGACCCCGCGGGAGGGGAAGGCCGCTCCGCGCAGCCCCGCGCTCCGCCCGCCGAGCCCCGCAGCGCCGCCAAACGCCTCGGGCGGCCGCGCCCCCGCGCCAGGCACTGAAAAAGGCCGGAGCGCGGAGCCGCGCCGCTCACAGCCCGCCCGCCGCCTGCCGAAGGTCGCGGCCCCTCAGCGACGCCATGACCGTGCTGAAGCTGTCCCTCGTGGCTTTCAGCTTCGTCTTCTGGGCGGCGGGGCTGACCATGCTCGTCGTCGGCCTCTGGGCCGAGGTGCGGCTGGGGGGCTACCTGGCGCTGTCGGCCGGCGACACCCCCGGCGCCCCCGCCATCCTCCTGGCCACCGGCACCGCCGTCATGATCTGGGCCTTCCTGGGCTGCTTCGGCGCCGCCGCCGAGCACCGCGGCCTCCTGCGCACCTACGGCGCCTTCCTGGCGGCCGTGCTGTTGGCCGCGCTGACCGCGGGGCTCTCGGCGCTCGTGTACCGCCAGGACATCGCGCGGGGCTTCCGGGAGGGGCTGCGCCAGGCCCTGAGCGCCTACGGCGAGGACGAAGGGAAGGCGGACGCCCTGGACGCTTTGCAGCGCGCGTTGGGCTGCTGCGGTGTGGAGAGCTACCGGGACTGGCTCGCCTCGCCCTGGGCGCTCCAGCAGAACGCCTCGGTGCCGCTCAGCTGCTGCCGGGCCCGGCGGGGCTGCCCGCTCAGCCCGGCCGGCGCACGCGGCCTGCACCCGGAGGGCTGCTTCGGCAAGGTCTCGGCCTTTGTCAGCAGCAACATGTTCTGCGTTGCCACCGCTGCCCTGGGACTGGCGGTGCTGCAGGTCGTCGGCATCGTGCTGGCGTGCCTGATGGCTGCCCGCATCCCTGCTCGCGTGACCGCTCCGCACTGAGACCTCCCCAGGTCTGGCTCTTGTCACCTCCTGCTCCCTTCTTGCCCCTGGATCTGGGAGATGTGAGTGAGCCCCATCTGGAAGACCTCTTCATCGTCCCCAGTTCACCCTTCCTCACGGTCTGTTCCTTTGCAGCAGCCTCTGTCAGATATGACAACACCACAGGTATCTCCACAGCCCCTTGGAGCTACCTCCTATCCTGGCTGTGTCCCTTTGCGACAGCAGGTTTCCACTTCCCTCCAGAGCCTCTGGGCACAGAGTGGAGAGTGACAGGATGGACAGACATCACCCTATTGGGCCAGATGGAAGCTGGGTGACAGCTGAGCAGGTGTCTGGGTGATGTGAACAGACAGAGATACTGAAATGGAAGCAGGAAAGAGGAGAAGGCCTGTGGGAGCAATGCAGACATCTCAGCATTTTATTGTGTGCATGTTCTGAGACCAGGAGCTGCTGGAAGATCAGTGTCACTCGAATACTGGAGTGCACAAATGGCATGTGGGGTCTGGGTAGGTCTGGGGACAGCCTCTGAGGGCTGCTTGTGCTCCCTGCAGGATGGACCACACCACCATGCTTCACTCTAGTGAGTTCCTTGCAAAGATGTCCAGGTCTAGACATTTTCAGCCTAGGAATTATGAACGTAGCTAGCAAACCTGTAGAGAATTAGGTAAATGCCAACAAATGATAGCTGGAAAGGAAATAGTAACAGCTTGTGAGGGGAGAGTGGAGTTTCCCAGGGCAAAGGAGTTTAGCAGTAGGGCCCAAGTAAAGAATGCACAGGGATGGAGAGTGAGAAAAACTAGACTTCATGGAAGTAGGCTTATGGGATTTTATGACAATGTTCCTGGGATGAAGCCAGGGCAAAACTTGTATTTAACTCCCAAAGATTCTGATTTTAGGTATTTTCACTATTTGTAATTGTGAATTTAAAAATATCTGGAAATGCCACTATTTCTGTCTTTTATGGTAACGAAGCCCTTTTCTTGCTCGCTGCCTGTTTCCTTTTGTTTGAAAGAGGGACTGATTGGTCAGTTCTGTGATGAATTTGTCCAGTCTGTAGAACTGTAATTGTTTCTGACCTGGTGACAGTACTGTAATTTGGCCTGTAATTGACAGCCTCCGACCACATGAACTGCTGTCATAAAGGGGCAATAGTTCTGTAGAGCAAAGCAAGCTGATGGTAAGGACTGTTGAAAAATGGTGCTTTATGGGTGAGAATTTGCTATGTCAAACAGTGTTATTTTGCTGTTTGTTGTATTTTCCATGGAAATAAATAGGAGGCAGTACTTTCAGAGAGACCTGCACACAAGCAAAATTCTGCAAGGACCAGGGAATATCCAGTACTCTCGAGTGCTGCAGACTGCTTTTGCCGCTGGAGTCAGCAGTCCTCAGAGTCAGTTCTCTTGATCAAAGAATACAAGATCAAAAATATAAAAAGAGAAATTGGGTTCTGTCCTGATGATTTATGTGTTTAACAGTGTTAGGAGGAGTAAGATGCCCTCATCAGGAAGGTTTTCAGGGCTGTGCCTGAGTCACAGAGGTCTGTAGTATGCCTTTTGGGTGGGCCGTTCTAGTCAGCATGGATGGATGGAGCTTACAGGGGTGGGTTAACAGTTATGTTGTGCCTGAGCGTTAGTTGTGGTTTTGTGTACCTTCCAATTGCTCAGATGTCAGGTGGCTATGTTAAGTAGCATGATAATCGGGTTCCAGGTAATGAGTGCAATGTAAACAGGCTTCTTAGCCATTTGACAATTCATCTGCATAGATGAACTCTGGATATGTGCTGGAAATTTCTCTTTTTAGAGCAAAAGTTTCATTCTGTTTTTTTTTTTCTGAATTGTTTCTTGTTTTAAATAATTTAATTGCCATTGTTGTTTATGAATGTCCCTGTACTAACATGTTTTTGATGTTTTTTTGAAGCTAGGCACTAATGGAACTCTGCTGTTTTCTGAAAAATCACTGTCATTTTGTAAAGTCTTAGCAGTGTGCAAAAAGTGTAATTTGTATTAGGAATGGTACTTCAGAAATAAAGTAATGTTACAAGCAATGCAAGTCACTGTCTGAATCCAACTCACTACTTTGTGTGTGTCTCTGCGTCGTTCAAGTGCAAGAAAAATGAAGTGTACATTGAGATGCAGAGACAGAAGTATTTTTATTATTCAGAAAAATAAACAGTAAAGCAGAGATTATGGGGGATGTTGGCAAGGAACATGGAGTTGCCCTGTATTTATGAGCGCTGTCTTCACCTGAATCAGTAACCTTGGAAAGTTACAAGAATGTTGCTCAGGTCTTTTTTAGCACCACAGGTTGCTCAGTTATTTCTGATGTTGATCCAGATTGCATGGTAGGACAAGCAACGAGCAATCGGAATGAAGGATGCTGCTGAAACCTGCTTGCTCTGAAAACTTGTGTTGATATCCCACTCAGTGCATGTTTTGTTTTAAGCCGTTTAAAGAAGTTTGAAACAAATAGGAGTGACAGGAGCCAGCTTTTAAGCGAACCACTGCGTGTTTGTGTGGTGGCCAGGCCTGACTGTCAGGACATCACATTAATGTGATGAATAGCTGAAAATGGAAACCGCTCTACACGTGGTCTGCTCTCACTGGAGGAGGAGAAACCTTGGCACATGTTCACAGGAAGGTTACATATCACTGTAACACTGCAGACATCACAGAGTGGCTGTGAGGTCTCCTTGGCTGTTTATTGCTAGTTCAAGAATAATCAATCACAACATTAACTTCTGTAGATGAATGGGAGAAATGTCATTCTTTTCTAACTAACTCCCAGATGAGCAGATTCCCAGAAGCTGTTAGAGTTGTCTCAGTTTTTTCGTGCTCAGTGACCAAATTTTAATTTAAAAAATGTTTTAGATTCAGTCTTATTTTTGTTCTGAATGGTCAGAACAGCTGTAACTGGAAAATGTTAAAGCGGAGGCCCCATTCAGGCCTTGATGCAGTATGTAGTTGTCTTCTGTCATCCTCCTCTGGGCAATTACTTAGACTTTAAGAAAGCCCGATCCCATCTTTTACAACTACATTTGATCAATTAAAAAACATACCAAAATGGGGGCAAGCTGTGTTGCAAGTGTAGAAACAACAGTGCTGTTGTTTGGACCAACTGAGATTTAGGATTAGCAGTGATAAGATTAGACCCCTGTTATGAAACAAGGACTATTTCCTAACAGTGATCAAAAATACGACTAGCAAATTTCATGGCTGTTTTGATCTTTTGCCTTACATCAGTTGCTCAGTGTACTTGTGCATCACTGAGTTCCACTTCACAGATAGCTGGAATTAAAAATTAGCTTCTTAATGGACTGTGAACCTCAAAAAGAGGTGGTGTTCTTGGGTCTCTTTCTCATCGCATCCTAAATTGTGTCTCAAACAGCTGACAAAAGAAAAGTTGGAAGAGGCCAATGTAATCTGCTGAGAAACCAGTGAAACTCTATGAAGCAGTAACAACATGAAAGAACATAATGTCTGCACACTATCAAGCAAGATTTAAGCACACATTTTCAGAAGCTTTAGATTTACTGATCAAATATGTGAGTTTGCACATAAACCACTGACAGAAAAAAAAAGGAGCTATTGAAGCATCTTAATGTTCTGTCCACATGAGCTCTCATTTGCAGCAAACACTACTGCCTGTTGTTAATGATCTTAATCCATGCAATAGAATTTAGTCGAGACTCTTATCTGGGCCACAGGATTAAACTTATCAAAGTAAGCATTATTTATTATTATTACTATTTCAAATGTTCTAATTATTCTAGAAAGAATTTTTAGAGCAATTTCTGTGAAGCTTTGCTTCTCCCATTCTCCTGTTTTGCTAATGTCTAGAGTTCACAGAATCACAGAATCACAGAATGGCCAGAGTTGGAAGGGACCTCAAGGATCATGAATCTCCAACCCCCCACCACATGCAGGGCCACCAACCTCCACATTAAATGCTAGACCAGGCTGCCCAGGGCCCCATCCAACCTGGCCTTGAACCAGAGGACGGGGCATCCACAGCCTCTCTGGGCAGCCTGTTCCAGCACCTCACCACTCTCTGGGTAAAGAATTTCCCCCTGATGTCCGACTTAAATCTCCCCTCCCTCAACTTAAAACCATTTCCCCTCGTCTTACATGTATCAACCCTTTCAAAGAGTTGATTCCCCTCCTCTTTGTAGGCTCCCTTTAGGTACTGAAAGGCTGCAATGAGGTCACCCCACAGCCTTCTTTTCTCCAGGCTGAACAAGCCCAGCTCCCTCAGCCTGTCTTCATAGCGGAGGTGCTCCAGTCCCCTGATCATCTTGGTGGCTCTCCTCTGGACCCTCTCCAAACAGCTCCCTGTCATTTTTGTACTGGGGGCTCCACACCTGGACACAGTACTCCAGATGGGGCCTTACAAGAGCGGAGTAGAGGGAGACAATCACCTCCCTGTCCCTGCTGGCCACCCCTCTTCTGATGGAGCCCAGTTGTTCTTAGGCCTCTTAGTACCGTTTGGTACCAGCATTTTAAAATGATAAGTTGTGCTCTGTAATAAAACCTCGGGAAAGGAATCTCTCCTGTTTAGTGTTCATCATTTCTGATAGGTCCAGTTCTTCCAGCTCACAAGCGATGGAGGGCAGGGAGTATCTCTGGTCAGTTCTAGGACTGACTGGTTGTCTTGGGATTGACAATATCTTGTCCTTAATACCCATGTTAGTAACAATAGTCTTAATGATTTCTTACTATTCAGAGTGCATTTTCCATGGCCTTCCCTGTGCTTTTTGATTTCTTGACTTTATACAGCGCTGTGCTGGGTTACTGCTACCTTTTAGTAATTTACAGCTGACTAAAATGGTAGCATCGGGAAAATGTCCTCTGCAAGAAAGTGTTCTGCTTTCTGTGTAACATAACACTGTATAAAGGAAATCTCTCTAGGTAACGCATGTCTTTTCTGTTGCTTTTAGATTTTGTTGTTGTTGTTTTTGAAATGATGATACTTCCACACGATAAAGATCCCTTTGTAGGACCAGAGCAGTGGTGTCCCTGCTGCTCATGCTGACCCCTGCTGTGCTGAAAATACTTCTGTAGCAGCTCAGCGCTGCGAGGGGATTCTCTGAGCAGAATTTGGGGCTCATCGGCACTCCAGTTTCCTGA